AGGGGGGGGGGGGGTGGGGGGGAACAGTGAAGACCCATGCAGAGATGCTATGATGGGAACTGGAACCTCGAGTATGAATGGTGGGGTAGAGCTGGCTACCGGCCCACTTTTTCTATTGTGAAGCTCTGCTTGGAGTGTTGCTGGTACGTAATACCTGGTGGTGAGACAGCCTGACAGCCCAGGAACCCGTGTCGAGCCTGAAAAAGAAAAACTCTACGGAAAATCAACATACGATCCGTGGTCCAACACCGACGGCAGCAGCCTGGCTCTATAATTTCGACGAGGTCGCCGCTCTTCGAGTCGCCGCCCCCCATTCTCTCAACACTCTTCGAAGAATTTTGCCGTTGGCCAACTTGGGCAAGGCGTCCACGAACTGGACGCCGCCGGCCAATGCTTTGTAACTCGCCAGCCGTGCGCGGACGAAGGCTTGAACCTCTTCCTCGGTCAACATCTGTGCTGCATCTACCCCATCTCGTCGGACCACATACGCCCGCGGCACTTCTTCTTCTTGTTGATTTTCGTCGGACAGCTTCACTCCCACCACGCCGGCATCTACAATGTGCGGGTGCGAGAGGAGGGTACTTTCCAGCTCGGCAGGGGCCACCTGAAACCCTCGGACCTTGATCAGCTCCTTGGCTCGGTCCACGACGGAGAGCAAGCCCGACTTGACATCAACCTCGACCACGTCTCCGGTATGGAAGTAGCCGTCCGAGTCGAAGCTCTCGCGGGTGGCCTTCTCGTTCTCGAAATACCCCTGGGTGACCGTGGGACCCTTGACGCACAACTGGCCCCGGCCACCGTGGCTGACATCCTCGCCCTGTTCATCCACCAGCTTCAATGTGAGAGTGGGAAGGGCGGTGCCGACGGTGCCCGCGACGTCAATCTGGCCCGCCGCCGCGGCACCCAACAGATCCGGCGGTACGGTGGTCGCCACACTCGTCGTTTCGGTCATACCCCAGATCTGCGACATGGTGGCACCCTTGGCGAGCAGTGATTGAAATCGTTTCAACACCTCGGGTGAACACGGCGCCGCGCCGGAATACCCATTCTTGACCGAGCGCAGACTGTATTTATAATTTGGCGAGGCCGGATCCGAGAGGCCACTCATCACGATCCGCAGAATCATTGGCGGCACCAAAAAGGCCTCGGTCACGTCGTATCGGGCGTGGTACGCGAGGAACGGCTCGAGCTCGAACCGACGCATGATGTAGCAGTGACGGCCCTCGCGGAGCTGCGAGATCAGCACGGTGGGGAGGACGCCGATGTGGAAAAAGGGCATCGACAGGACGGCTCGAAACGGGTAACGTCGGGGGTTTCTTTCGTAGAAGAGCTGATGCTCGGCCACCAGGTTGTGGTGCGAGGTCATGGCGCACTTGGGCAGCCCGGTCGTCCCCGAGGTGTAGAAGAGACATGCCGTGGTCTCGATGGCGGTCGTCCTGTCTGGGAACGTCTTCCAGGGGCGTGAACCGTGGCTCAGCAAAGTCTGCCAGCTTCGAGGTGAGTGCTTTCCCCCGTTGTCCCCCCTCATCCCGGCCTGAGCATCCAGCAAGAAGACCGGCGTCGTCTCACCCCGCCCTGTGGATGACAAGGCTTTCTGCAAACTGGGTGCCGCTTCCGATTCGGTCACCACGAACCTAGGCTGGGCGAGTTTCAGCGCGTGGGCGAGCTCGTGGGAGGTGTACGTGGGATTCGTCCCCACGGACACGCCGCCACATCCCACAATCGCCAGACATATGATGGGGTAGTAGATTGAATTGTAGGCGTGGATGCAGACCCGGTCGCCGGCGTTCAGCCCCTCCGCGTGGAAGCCGGCGATCAGTTTCTGGACCAGATCTTTGGCTTGACGGTAGGACAGCGAGTGCGAAGGATCGGTGGCGTCGATGAAGACCTGGCGACAAAACGACCACGTCAGTCAGATCAGTGGAAATGGTCAGAGACTTACGGGACGGTCGGTGTCGTAGTCCGGCTTGCCAAAGGTGAACGACACGACATCTTGGGCAGAAAGTGCATAGTCGCCAGTGGTGGGCAGCGGCATGATGGCAGTGGCAACCTGACAAAGAAAACAAGGCTACCAAAGCATCACATGGATGGCAAGAGAAGACAATAGGGCGTCAAAATAGCATCGCATGAACTGATGCTGAGTCCGCGAGATCCGATATCCGGGGTTGTGGAGACCCCTGGCCTCAGATGGAACCACTGAGGCCTACCTCCTGGGAGACGATATCTCTGCCTGGCACGTGCCGGAGAAGAAAGGGCATCCCTAATAGGAATTCCGGCCCTGAAACTTGGAAAAGGCGCTGAAGAACAGCGGGATGTGGCTGTGGACCACGGATCAGTATCGTGTGCGCGAAACCTACCACGACAGCCACGCGCACGGCTGGCTCATCCGTAACCACCGGGCGTGGCTGCGCAGCGATCAGAGGATCAAACGGATGCAGAAACTGTTCCATGCGAACCTCATCTTTGGACACGACTACGACGTCGCCCAAGGCTTTATAGACGCGCAGTCCTTTTACGACTAGAATCCATAGTTTCTGCTGCATCCATCATTTCTTCATTCTTTTAGACTTGCTGGCTGCTGCGATGGCGGCGGCGCTAGATAGCAGAGGACAATGAGATGTACCACGGCCCATGAATCAGGTTGATCCTGGTGATATCGCAACTTTCTGACAGAACGTTTCTTCTGCTTTAGAAAGGCTATTTCGCACAAACATATGTTTACCGTCTAGAAATGGACACCCGTTCATGCGGAGAATGTTGACTATCGTCTTGGCACGGAAATGTAACAAGTCGGTTGCTCGGAGAAGCCCAAGTATAGTTGATTCGCGGACAGAGTCGTGAAAATGGTCTCGGGAAAGACGTCGGGGGTATTCGGTGTTATGATCTTGGGGACACAGATACTACAAGATTCAGTTCGGCTAATGGTTCCGCGGCCACTGGATCAACGATTCCGTGTGTGCACCTGAATGTGTCCGATTGCGAAGAGATAGCAAAAGGACATGACCCCACGGGGGGGAATGAACGGTCGAAGTTTCTATAAGCGTGGAAGAGTGGTCGACGACAAAGCGTTTTTTTTTTCCAGTCTCATGTCCTGGGATCGTCTAGCCAGCGTTAGCTGATGACCATTGACATAGACCTAGTCCACCAGAAGGTCCCTCTTCTCGTAGTCATTACCTCAGGTTGAAGAAGATATCTCGACATGGCGATCAAGGCGGACTACGATGCCTTGGTGGTGGGAGCCGGATTCGGGGGCATCTATCAATGCTACTCGCTGAGAAAACTCGGCCTCACGGTCAAGGTCATCGACGCTGCCGGTGGTGTCGGCGGCACCTGGTACTGGAACCGGTATCCTGGGGCCATGAGCGACACAGAGAGCTATCTGTACCGCTTTACCTGGGACAAGGAGGATCTCCAAACTTACCCATGGTCCCATCACTACGTCAAACAGCCCGAGGTGTTGCGCTATCTCCAACACGTGGTTAAGCGTCACGATCTGGAGCAGTACATGCAGTTCCACACCGAGTTGGTGGCGGCGAACTGGGACGAGAGCAGTTCCACGTGGATCTGTGATGTGAAGACGGCCGACGGCTTCCGCTCGACCATCCGCGTGCGCTATCTCGTTACCGCCCTCGGGCTTCTCTCCAAACAAAACTTTCCCGACATTCGTGGACTCGAGACCTTCCACGGCGACCTGGTCCACACAGGCTCATGGAATCCGGACCTTGAAGTGACGGGTAAGCGCGTCGCCGTCATCGGCTCGGGCTCGACGGGCGTGCAGGTGGTTACGGAAATCGCCTCCAAAGTCAAGGAGCTGGTGAGCTTCCAGCGAAATCCCCAATACTCGGTCCCGAGTGGGGACGGACCCGTGACCGTAGAATACCGGGACCAGATCAATGCCAACTACGACGCCATCATCGAGAAGAACAAGGCCTCGGTGTGCGGATTCGGCCTTGACGAGGCCACCAAGGGCTTCGATGAATTCACGCCGGACCAACAGCAACAAATCTTCGAGAATCTCTGGCAACGCGGCAACGGCTTTCGGTTCATGTTCGGGGGCTTCGCTGATCTGACCGTCAACCGCCGGGCCAACGAGGCGGCCTGCGAATTTATCAAGGGGAAAATCCGCCAGACGGTCAAGGACCCGGAGAAGGCCAAGCTCTTACTGCCGAGACAACCCTATGCGCGACGGCCGCTCTGTGACGGCGGCTACTATCAGCAATTCAACCGGGACAACGTCCACGTGGTGGATCTCCAGGCCAGTCCCATCCAGGAGATCACCCCGACCGGCATCCGGACGGCGGATGGCCGCGATTTCGCGTTCGATGTGATCGTCTTCGCCACGGGCTTTGAGGCCGTCGACGGCAACTACCTGCGCCTCAGCATCACCGGCCGGGATGGGTTGTCGCTGCAAGACCAGTGGCGGAACAGCGGGCCGCGGGCGTACATGGGCGTCTCGGTCGCCGGGTTTCCCAACTTGTTCCTGGTGACCGGGCCACAGGGCGCGTTTTCCAACATCCCGGTCCTGATCGAGACGCACGTCGAGTTCATTACGCGCGTCATCGCCGAGGCCGAGCGTCGGCGGGTGCCCCAAGTAGAGGCGTCACAAGAGGCCCAGGATCGGTGGGTGGCGGTCTGCGAGCACCTGGCCGAGGGTTCCATCTTCCGCGAGGCCCAGTCGTGGATCTTTGGCTCCAACGTCCCCGGCAAAGTCACCTCGACCCGGTTCTTCTTTGGCGGCTTGGGCAACTATCGCAAGGCGCTGGACGAGGTCATTCAAGGAGGGTTTGAAGGATATCCGGCCTTGCAAACGGCTGGCTAGACCACTGATTGGGACGCGCGGAAGTGGCATTTATAGCGATCTTTTCCGGTTCATAGTGTGTTGCAAAAGCAGATGATCCAGCCATTATATTGTATAACTGCCTAGGGAAACTATTTGCCCCGGGCGCCGAAGCTGAGCCAGAAGCCTGGCGACTCAAGAACGAGACATGATCGAGCGGCCACGTAGTCAACGATTTGATACTGTCAGGAACTACTGACACAGACACTACAAAGCTGCCAAGAGGATGGCCAGCACAGATAAAAACCCTAACCTCCTCGCAAGAGAGTCGCCTGCTTCTCTGATGCTTCGAGTTCTGTATCGAGTATTGATACTTAAACCTACTATTCTCTGCCTATCTACTTATAGGCCGTCCTTGGAGTAGATGATAACTACCGAAATCGGACTAGTCACACTATCGGCGGTAGATCCATATTGTATTCCTAAAGTTAGTATATATATATTATATTATATATGCCCCGAATTGTGTTTCATCCATTACCTTTTTGGTTCAGGAAAGGGAGCCAGGCCGCTTTATCGGGCACGTGACGGAGCGTGAGGAGCGCCCGGCCGAGCACTGGGCGAGCCACAGGGAGCTATGCCCATTGCCCATTCGCAGACGCCAGTTGCCTCTCGGCTATACATCGGTTTCAGACGGACGTTAGGGGCCAGGGGCCCTTACGCTACTGCCTGAATTTCCTTGTAACTTTGGGCCTCCACGTGCGACAGTGTGCGCGGTTGAATCGTAGACCGCGACGGCACTTCTGCAACAAGCTTGATGCTACCCTTTCCTTTCTCCGAGCAACCATAGCACCTCGAGACGGTGTCACCAGCACCGACCACATTGCAACACGGCCTCGACCTCAGCCTCACCAAGCCTGTGCCTCTCACTGTTCCCCGTTCCAACCTTCTTATTTCGTCCCTCGATTGTTGCATTCTGGTTTCTCTGTCCTCTTGTTCTTCATCATGGTCGCTTTCTTTTAACCTCGCCGCTGTCCCCGTCTATGACCACTTGAGGGAGCAGCCCTGCCTTCCTTCTGAAGGTGTTCAACTTTTCGTCCACCGGATCTATTTCCGAATTCTTCGCCCAGGGGCGACCGCCAGTACCACTTTGGGTCTCTCTGAGGCAATTGCACCCAGGCCATCAGCATCGCCTCGTCATCGAATCGGTTTTGACAGGAGCGACGCCAAAAATGGCCACCTGCTTCCAGCTCATTCCCCGTAATGAGCCCTTGGTCCCGGCCTCGATTTCTGTCCCGCTTAACACGTGCTGGTTCCTCTCCACAAAGTTTTTTCCGAATTTGCTCGCCCTAATGAACACGAAGATGTCGAATTCGTTTCGTCCCTCTTGTCGAAGCAGGACTCGATGGCCGTATCCCGCCTTCATGTAACCATACAGTTCCTTCTCCAGCCCTCCATCGAGGATGTGCCCCTCCTGTTCATTGAAATTTATGGACTTCGGTAGCCTCCTTGACCGATCTCTGGCTGCTATTGGGACAGTTGACCGCACGGGTGGATCGGGTATGTGCACGGGTGGATCAGGTATGTCGAGTAGCCAATGTTGAGGGTAGCCACGCTCCTTGATCAACTCTCGAAGCCGCTGATTTATGATTTCAAGTCCCTTCCTGGCGCTTTGATCGGAGGTTTGCTTCAATCGCTCCACAAGAGGGCGCGCCCTCTCCCTGAGATCTTCAGAGATAGCGGTAAACGTTGGGTGTGTGCCCCTTGCAATCTTGATCGATCAGCGGACAGATGCCGAACAGCATTCCTGTCTCGCCAAGTTGTCGCTCAGTCGAAACTATATACACTGTGTTCCGAGACTACTCTTCGACCATCGCTTCCCGAGTGCGATCTATCGCAATACGCCCATTCCTATGTTATTGTCCCTACATACTTGTCGCTTTTATCTTGTGGTGGACCATCTAGCGCCACGCGTACTCGAACTGAGCTGGAAAGAGCTGGCGCCAATTTTATCGGCATTCTCAGGAGCATCAGTGGATACTCCGAAGCCAGGATTGCCATCATTGGCGGATTAGCCCTTTGGAAATACATTCACAATTGCAGAACTCCCCAGGTGATTGCATTCTCATATTCTCAGTCGCTACACACCAAACTTACATGGCTCCTAGGATGTGGACTTCATCGTTAATATCAGCAACACGCCAGAAGGCGTCAAACAGAAGCCTCTAGATCTTCCCAACTTCCCTTTCATCCAGCAGGCCCAATTCTTCTACTACAAGACCCGGGGCGGATCCCAGATCCAAATCGACATCGCTCAGAGTGGAAGGTCTGTACAACCCTTTTCGACAATCGAACCTCGTATTTTGGGATAATACGAGTTGGTTCCTCTCTTTGAGGGAGATTCGCTGCTCCCTTTCAGGTAAATTCACTAATATTCCACCTCTTGGGAAGCTCGTCCTGGTCGGTGGCACGCGTCGGGAAGAGAGAAGGATACTTCTCGGAGTCGGTGATGCGTGAGAGCACGCGCACAATTTTTTCGTTTTTGTAAAAGCCCTCGTGCTCCAGTTTATCGCGGTTCACGTCGTTGAATACCTGCAGCAGCAGGAGGGCAAGCGACGCGATACCTGCCGCCAGAGCTGTGGCAACCGACGAGCCGGACACCGTTCCCCAGGCTATTCCCGCACCCATATACGACGGGCCGAAGGCGGGAATGTCCTGACCGGGAACAGGGATGTTTATGGCATCCTTGTCCGACGTGGGCATCAAGTTTCCGTACTTGTCGGTGGCCGAGACGCGCACGGTGCCGGGGTAGCAGGCCGGGTAGACGCGGTTCGCCCAGCTCCCTTCGTCAGCCGTGGAACAGAAGACCAGCGCGTGTTTGGTGGCGTCTTCGATGGCCTGCTTGAGTTCGGGGAACTCGCTTTTGGTGATCCAGCTGATGGAGATGATGTCCACCCCTTGGTCGATAGCCCACCGGACAGCCTGTTATCATCCGTTGCTGTTAGTTTCAACGTTCTCCGTCCTCCGACACGAAACACATTGGTTGTTCTGGGCCAGATAGATATTTCCATTCCAGCGCCGTTGTCAGGTTTCCGTGCCGAATAAGGTGCACAGATAGAGCAAAGAGAATGACACACCTGTACCGCGTCCTCTGGAAGGATGTCTCTGCGGCTTTTGCCCACACGAGCAATATAGAGCCGGCACCAGGGATTGGCGTTGGCGATCAGATAGGCCATCTGCGTACCGTGGGCATCCGAGACCATCCACCACGGTAGGATTCGATCCGCACTCTCATAATCGGCCTTGACGTAGGAAACGCCCTTCTCGATAACGTCACGGATCTTTTTGCGGAACTTGTCGGCCCCGTTGTCGATGATGGCGACCTTGATAAGCCTCGAGCGGTCCATCTCCCCTGGCTTGTGCTTGAGCAGCTGGAACCGCGCCTCGAACCGCTCGTATTCGGAACGTTTCTTCATGTCTCCGAGGAACTTCCGGCAAGTTTCCAACTTGGTGAGAAGCTCGAGCCTGGCCACGACGTGTTAGATCGGTCCGTCATTCTGAGGATGTGGGAGATGGGCGCACTCACTTTTCCTCTAATGGCTTCGTTGGGTATTGCAGGACAGGGAAGTCCCACTTGGCGTTGGTATTGATGATGTAAGTAAAGTCGATTGGTGGATTTTGCTTCTTCTTCTTTTCTCTCATCGCCTCCAATCTCGTGGTCAGTTTCTTTGCATACTCGTCCACGAGTAAAGCATGCCGGGTTTGGGCCTGTTCGGGTTGCTTTTCACAAAGGATGGTTAGCATGCTCTCATGAGCCTCGGACTGCGTCCAGGAAACGTGCGGCGACATGGTAGGGCAGGAGACTTACGTGCAATTCATCCAAAGCCATGATTTCGATGGTCACTTTGCGTAGCTTTGAAGCAGACTCGTCAGAAGGGCTGTGGCAAGGGAGAGAGCAAATTGTCAACCCACATACACTAGTCAGTTTTTCCAGACCCTCAGGGCTGATCCAGTGGTGCATGACGCTGTAGTTGCCGGTAGAATACAAGGTGAGGTTGGTGAATTCGTCACGGTGCTTCGAGCGCACCAGAATGTCGAGGTTAATGTCGAGCTTGCGCCAGTCAAACTTCTCAACCTCGAAGACGTCGATGATGGCCTCTGATACGAGCTCATCACTCATTGGCAGCGTCGTGCTGTCAGGGATGTTGAGAGATTTGATTCGCTTGACGTTGCCCTCGTTCCTCAGCCACTCAAACAAGTCCCTGACACCGTCGTGCGGCGTCGCTTTCCTGAAAGTGTTGAGGTCAGGGAGAAAAACGGAGAGCAGGCACTCTTCAAACAGGAGCCCCTTGTCCGTGGAGTGTTTGAGCTCATCTACAAAGATCTTGAAGTCGTGCGACGATTGATTGAAGTCGGACATGTCTAGACAGAGCTCTTTCTCTGTCATCACTCCGTCAGCCGCCTCCGGCAGATGGATTCGAAGGGGGAAGTATATCGACACTTGCCTTGTCCTAGACGACCACCGGAATGTTAGCAGGAGCACAACAAATGAGGGGAGTAGGTGCTGTAGGTACCTTTGGTCCCATATAACGCCCTCTTCAGCTTCGGAATTTCCGTCAGAGAATTCAGGATCTTCTTTCTCAGTTTTCGCTGGAAGTCGGCATCGTCGTCCTCGGTCTCAACGCCGTCGAGGCGCTTTTTGAAGGGCGACAGGCCATCATCGTTGATGGCTGTCCACAGCTCGCCCATTGAGGGGCCCAGGCTTTTTTCGAGCGTCTCGATGACCCTGAGAGGCACGAATTCGTCGCTGTTCCGCACAACCTTGCTCCGAGCTGCATTGGAGGTGCCAGCATCGCCAGCGGCATACCGCTTTTCCCGGGCAGGCCACGACTTGGACTTCGTTTCCATCAGCAAATGCAATGCCGTGTTGTTCAAGATGTCACGCATCAAGAAGATGGGCTCGATCTTTTGGTCGTGCTTCGGACCTATCCACTGCTCTGTAATACCTCGGGTCTGAATGATTTTGACAAGCCGGTTCTCGGCTGGTCCTTCATCTCGTCCGTCGACTTGTCCCTCAACTTGGGCGCACAGTTCCACCATCCGTTCGACACAGGGAAGCTTCTCCATGATGCTAGCGTGCAGGCACGTGTATGTGCCTATGATCTGGTTCCGAGTGCGCAACGCGGTGACGATCTCGATATGCAGGTCCGACTTCTCCCGGATAGATTCCTCTGCAATGGACAAGACGCTCTCCAGAAAACCATGGTTTTTGGACGAGATGGCCGCGTGGATGGGCGTCGTTTTGTTGCCGCTCTTGGTCTTGACGTGGAGCAGGCTGCAGCCGTCTTCACGGTGGAGGAGCCACCGAAGGAGGTCATCGCCTTTGTAATTGTCAAAGGCCGTGGAACTCGCCGTGGCAAGCGTATGTAGTAGTTCGTCATAATCGGACCTACTGGTTTTGAATTTGTCCTCAAACATGCGGAAGTCTGATTTCCCGGGGTCGGCAAAATCCAGAGTACTTGCTAGCTGCAAGAATTCGAGATGTTTTTTGCGATTTGCCATCATGTCTATCTTGCTCGCGGGGCACAGTTTCACAGTGAACCTCGTGGGAGCGTTGAGAGAAATCAGACATGTTAGACTCGGGCGCGGAGGCTACAAAAGACAAGCGAGGAACCTCTTGAAATTGTGTGTGTTATTGGCGCCTGCTACATAGCGTACACACCACGGCCAACTAGCCGCATGGGCAACTGGAGGTCACAACTTTGGCGAAAAGGACAAACCTAGCGGTGCACAGTATTGCCCCGCACATAGTTGGAGGCGGACCAAACGCCCCGGCCCAAGAACGCCTAGAATCCACCCCGTCTCGTCGTTTGACACGAGCTGCTGGTGGAGGTGGCAGCGGTGGACCCAAGGGCTACGAGTGGTGATTCGCTTGGAAGTCACCGCGGGTGGATCGCCTGCTTTGGCATTTCTCCTTAAAAAAGGCCGAAGGGCCGAGTGTCCACCTTCCAATCCATTGCAGCGCACCGGTTGCCCCCTCCTACCCCCCTCATTGACCCCTCCTGCTGGGTGCCTGCGAATTCGAACCCAGGTTTGTCAAATCCCCGCAGTCATAGTCTGGTCTTCATACACCATTTCAATGAGTGCCTCCATCTCCTCTGCCTCCTCCAGATGCAGCCGGGCCAGGTTCTGGTAGTAGGATGCCATCATTCGATGGCGCACCACTTGAGAATTACGGATCGAGAGGGCCGACTTGTTGGGTAGGCGTCGCCGAGGAGCAGAGAGTGCCGGGACGGCAGGCGACGGCACGGGCAGCGGGAGAGGTGGGGGCTGCGCGGACAACGGCACGGCCAGCGACGGTTCTGCTGAGATTGGCTCGGCCGAGTCTTTGTGCTCCACCTTCTGCGTGTCCGATAAAGTCGGAGGGGTTCTCCCTTGTCCTAGAGTTGAAGTCGGCGCTGTGGGTGTCGATTCAGGGGCCACAGAGTCACCGGTCGTAGCCGGAACGGACGATTCAGAAACAGTATTGCCTTTAGCTAGACGCCCCGTTAGCTCGATGACTCGCCCAAACTGGACGGACGAGATCTTAGAAAGACGTCTTTCATCCCACCTTCTTGTTCCAAGAACAGTTTCTGGGTCCCCTTCTCGGGCAGATGTAGATACGTTAGCTTCTTTAGGGGTTGGTCCGCGGCCATCATCAGGTTAGTCGTGTCGATGCCCTCCGGATGGGTGTCCATGCCCGTCCTTTTGGGGCCAAAAGGTCCCATTCGGAGGGCATTTCCCTGCCGTCTGCCGGGCCGCCAACGAAATGTATCCGCTATCCTATAACTCACATCAGCTCGCGTGAAGGCTGTGATGAAGAAGTTCGCGCCTGGTGCTCGTTTCACGATGAGGGCTACAGCAAGACGGTCTCCGATTCCGTCTTTCTCCACGGCCGGGGTGATCTCAAATGTCACTTCCGTATCCATGCCGGGCGACTCCCCTGATGCGGTCGTGGTCAGCTTGAGCAGCCGCCTCTCCTCGAATTGACGCGCTGTGGATTTCGAGGGGGAAACTGAAAGCTCCGTCATCGGCGGCTTCACACCAAGAGTTCCTTGCAAGGTGTTTGTATTGGTGACCGCGGTGATGTGTTCCTGGAAATACTGGTCGCCGTCCGCAGCAGGCTCGAAGGCTACCACGGATGGCGGTTCGGCGTTGGACGAAAGGTCACCAGGCTCGAGCTTGAGAGTGAGAGTGAACTTCTTGAAGCGCCTCTTGGATATGTCGGTCTTTGGGGTGATGCGCAGAACAACAAGGCTGGCATCGTCAGCGTCGGGTGGGTGACTCGCGAGACTGCCGTGGGCTTCCTCGAGCCGGTGGAATTGGGTAGAGTAGCTTGTGTCCGTGATGGTCCCAATGCGATATTTGTTGCTGCTGCGGACCTCTCCCAGGTCCGTCAGTTCTTCGTTGAGGAAAAGTTCGAGCCCCTTGCCTCCCAGCGAATAGGTCGGAATGCTGTTGTCCTCAAACTGAAAATCGGTCGCCATTGTATCGGGGGCGGGGGAGATTTGAGAAGCTCTGCTATGTGCGATACTGAAGTGAAAGCAGTCCGACACGAAAGATATGCCTGTCTTGATGGTTGTCCAAGCCAGCCCCAGCGAGAGATGCAGCTGCGCGGGTGCTTGGAGGCGAACTTACCATAACGTCCCACTATTTGTCACCTCGCCTGTGCCCCCCAGGGGGGCTGCACCGTGCCCCGGGTTCTGCCTATCCCGAACCTGCCGGTGCCTTCATGATCAAGGCGGTTGCAGGTACGGGAGATAGTATCATTGGACGGCCGCGCCCTTAATGGTCTACAGCTGTATGCGGGCACCTCGTTTTGATGGAACCCCCCACTGAGATAATACTGATTGAACCCTGCTTCGAGCCCATTCTTGAGCTAATGACCTCTGGGGACAGATTTCGTGCCCGCCAGCAAGAGCGAAAGTCGTTGGTCTCGTTCGGGCTGTGCCCCATTTGTGTTTTAGAACAGCGCTGAGCTGCATACCTCTCAATCCCAGCACTTGTTTTGCCAGCAGATCGCGCCATGAATCTCTTGCGACGGCGAGCAGCCTGATTGCAAACACTGCCCGTTGCTGCATCGGTCAACAGAGAAAAGATGAGTGTCAGCTCAGGAGTGTCTCCTCGGATGCAGTGGACGAAGCGCGAATTTCGGTAAGTGGGTGTGTCTCTTCGCGTTTCGTGTTCCCTCCGTCCTCCGTGCCACAACCGAGCCTGATTCGAATACCAGTTGAAAAGAGGGAGCTAATGCTGTCTGGCAGTGTAATCATAGTACAAGGAGTCGCAGAGGACTACAACGGACGGTATTCTGGCAAGAGGGTGATGTGGTTCAATGAATTCATCCTCCAGCGTTTCGGGGAGGCCCAGGTGATCCGCTTGGCAACCACCTTTGACCTCCAGGCCGGCATCTTGTCGATGGAGATCCGAGACGCGGCAGTCCAGCTTCTGGACAGAGTGCAGAGGGAAATGAACCGCACCGGGGTGAACACACACCGTACTCCAAGTCCTTGCGAGGCACAAGACTTGTCTGAGCCTAGCTGAACCCGTGTCTTCCCTCTAGGCCCCGTCATTGCTGCTGATAGGGTATGACCTTGGGGGCTTGATCATCAAGCAAGTATGAATGCACCTCCAGCTGCCCACAAGCCCACATAAACTGACCAGTGAGCAGGCCCTCTTAATCGCCGTTAACAATGCGAAGTACTCGTTGATTGCCGAAAAGACGTCCCTCCTGGTAAGATTAGCCAGGAGGATTCCAACCGGTCAACCTCTGTATCACTGACGCTTCCGCCCAGGTGTTCATTGGAACTCCTCATAGAGCGACCGACTTCGAGTCCTGGGAGAGTATAGCCATCAAGCTCATGCTGCGGAGCAGCCACGTCGGCGCCTGCTCGTTTTCCAAAGTCCTGGCGCAATCAGCCGAGACGCTGATGGAAGTGAACAAAAACTTTCAGCATGTGGCCAGGATGTTCAGTATCATGAGTTTTTACGCGGAAACCAGCAATACATCATCCCAAAAGTTGTTGGTCCGTTCCCACCCGTCCTCCTTTCTCCCTTCCTCACACCTAAGAACCTCCATCTACGACATGTTGTCTAACTCTCACCATCGCAGGCGTTCTCCAAGGACACGTCAACAATTGGACTCTTTGGGGAAACTACTGAGCCAATAGACTGCCATCTCCCTGTCCGTGACGGTCTCAAAAAGGATGAGGTGGTGGTTGTGGTGGAGGAAGAGGAGGAGGAAAAGAGGACTGAATTTATCGATTCAATCGCCGAAGTAGTGACCAGGACGAAAGGTGCGTCGCTCTAGCTCAACTGGCTAGCAAGGCCGGTCATTGACTAGCATCCGGTATTAGCAATCGAAGAGCTGTATTTGAGCTGCTTCAGGACCTTGTCGATGGTTGACTGTGAGCACGCGTCTACCGGTATCCCAAAATTTGCGCCCACGCCCGACGCGTTCGACTGGCTTCTCGGCCATGATGGGTACCAGAAGTGGAGAGGTGGTTCACGTCGCCTTTTGTGGCTGCATGGGCGAGCCGAGTCGACCGTCGCGTCGCTGGGCTTCGTGGAAAAGATGGCGAGAGAGATCTTTCTGGATGCCAACGTGATCAAATTCTCCTTCGATGCCCGCGACGACCGCTATCGATCCACGTACAGAATGTTCGCTTCTCTCAGCCACCAGCTGCTGAGTCTTGAACCACCCCTCTTCAACCATGTCAGACCACTCTACGAGAAGATTAGCCATGAGATGCCGTGGAGGATGGATCGTCTTTGGGCATTCTTCCGCTCGCTGCTCTCCTGCGCTCACAAGGACCACCGCGTCACATGTTGCTTCATCAGCATGATAGACGAAGCCGATCCGACTCGCAACCAGTTCCTTTACAGTCTCCTCCGGCTAGCAAACTCCGATACGTCAACAGGCACTTTCCGACTCGCGATTACGAGCTACGGGCCTCCCAATGCCAGCTTAAAGCTCACCACGGACGCGATCCATGTTGACCAGACGAGAGACGAAGACTCTCATGACAAGAGAAGAGAGATAGAAAAGATTATTGACCGCCAGGTACTGTCATTGTTTCGAGCCAGGCCGGAGCTCGCCATATTTGATGACATTATAAGGGGAAAATTGCGGACCTCCGGAGACATGTTCACCATCTCTCTCACCACAGCGTTGCTGCACGCACGCCAGCCGCAATCAACGTACGAAGAGATGGAAACAGAGCTAGGCGCTCTCCCTTGCACCACATTCGGGTTGTATCATCACTTTCTCGATCGGATACCCTCAGAACGACGGCTCTGGTCAAAAAAGGTCCTGTCTTGGATAATCCATGCTGCGAGGCCCTTGAAGCTTCGCGAGCTTGCCATCGCGCTAGCTCTTCAAGACGACGTCTCATCCATCTCGGATCTACAGAATAGGGTGCCGCTGGACGTTGCACTAGATCTCCGCCTGGTATTTGGCAATTTGGTCAATATTGAGAATGACGACGTGTTGTTTGTCCATCGCGGCTTTCGGGACTTCCTCCTCCAAGATCGACCTGGCCCTCAAGCAAGCACGTGGTTCTTCTATTTCGACGACCATGCAGTTTTTGCCGAGTCTTGTCTCCACTATCTCACCCTGGTGGCAGGTCAAAGGCGTCAGGTGAATTCGCAAAGCGACCGAGATGATGGCGACAGCCTTCCAAAAGGAGTGGAGTACGATTTCCTGACTTATGCCGTCCGGTATTGGCCGAAGCATTACCACTTGGCGAGCCATGACATCTATCCTGGTCTGCATGACAGGGCATGCAAATTCTTGGAGGACCCTGGGTCGATCCAGGTGTGGTCGTGGTTGCGTTGGACCCTTGGAAACCTGCTGGAAAGACCACAAATGTCGTTCAAGAACCCGCTCCCACTCGCGGTTCGGCTTGGATGCAGTGATATAATACGGACGCTGCTGAAGAGCCCAGATTTGGATCGCGAAGACTTGCGCACGGCACTTGAGGTGGCGATCGAGGATGGAAACGAGGAAATCATCGACGAACTCCGGGCTGCCGGCGCCCAGTCTCCAAGGGGGTTACACAAAGCGGCCTTGTATGGAAGATATCGGGTAATGCGCCAAATATTGAAGAACAGCCCGAAAGCCGAGAATGTCTCACGGGGTTCAACACCATTGCACCTCGCGTCGACCTCTGGCTACCGGAAATTGGTGAGACGTCTACTCGAGGCGGAATTCAACCCAAACACACCGGATGAGCTGGGAATGACGCCCCTTCATCTCGCCAGCCAGTTTGGCCACGTTGGCGTCCTCAAGGAGCTTCTTGGGAGGCGGTCAAACTTTCGAAACAACACGGACACGGGTATTGACGAGGATGCAGATGCACTCACGGAGACCGACTCTGTCAGCACGGTGGCTGAGCGGTCTTCGGACGCGGACGTCGAGGCAGATACCACCACAGCGGCGGATGTGAAAACCAACGCCAGGGCGGATATCATTGCAGACATCAATTGCTTTGACGACGGCCAGTGGACGCCTCTTCACATGGCCATCGGATGGCAGCAGCCAGGTGCGGTCAGAACACTTCTCGGCTCGGATGCCAACATTAACATTCAGGGTGCCTTTGGATATACAGCGCTGCACGTTGCCGCCAAATCGGGCCGCGAGGACATTATGGGCTTCTTATTGAATCACTACGAGGCACCTCCGGGGAGCGCCAGCGGCTCAACAGCTCTCCGACTTGCAATGGAGGCCCAGGACAGCAAAGATGGGTACACACCGTTGCACATCGCGGCATGTGAGGGACACATGGGAGTGGTGCGGCGACTTCTCGGTAAGTTAGTAGCCAGCCACGACGCCCAAGTCATGAACATCCTGGATCATTCCGGTAACATGGCTCTTCATCTTGCGTCGAAGAATGGCCATGCCGCGGTGGTAGAAGCACTCATCGAACTGAGTGCGAAGAGTGCAAAAGAGACGGGTGGTTCGGCTACTGGCACCTCAAAACCCAGTTCCAAAGCGTCGAACCCGCGCAAGCATGCTCACGGTTCTAGCCTTCTCATTGGCAACCACCGGTCGCAGGCTCCGATTCATTTGGCCGTTCTCAATGGCGATGCGTCTCTGGTCGCGAAGTTGTGTGTGGAGCATCGACGGCAAGGGGCGTCGCTCGACCTCTTTGATCGCGAGACACAAAGCCCTCTCCATCTGGCATCCCGGCACGGTCTCTCCGATATTGTGGGCATCCTCCTCGAGCATGGCGCACAGGCTGATATCGCAGACGAGAATGCCGAGACTCCTCTCGCGCTTGGGTGCGCGGAGGGCCACCTCGAGACTGTGAAGAAGCTGCTCACCAAGGGCGCAGACCTGATGTGCGCCAACTCACAAGGCCGCTTCCCGCTACATAAAGCCGCGGTGGCCAACGCGGTCGAAGTAGCCCAGGAGCTTCTCCGTGCTGCCAGGAAGCTCGCCAGCGGCCGTGAGTACGTGAACTTGAGAGACAATGACGGGAGCACCCCACTCCACCTCGCGGCCGAGGCGGGCAACGTCCCAATGATGGAAGTGCTCCTCAATGAAAAGGCAGACGTCGAAGCCGTGGATGGCGACGGCCACAACGTCCTGGACCTCGCTTCTGAGCGTGGCCACATGGAGATGGTGACGTTTCTGATCCAAAAAATCGTCGGAGGTATCAGGGGCGTCGATGGGGAGAGCTCTCTTTCCCTCTCGGGCGTCTTGAAATTCATCAATGCGCTGCCGGACGATCGAGCCGCGATTGTAGATCGCCAAAGCACCCAAGTACCCGCGTCTCAGGAACATTCGCACGCGATCCTGCTGGCTATGATGAGTGTCCCTGATCGCTGGAATACCAAACAGTACGGGTCGATCCTGCGTCTCGCAGCCCAGAAGGGGATCCTGGATGTCGTCGTTCGCATCCTCCACCTCGTCAAAGAGTTAGACCCCAATGATGTGGACGACGAGCAAAGGACAGCACTTCTCCTCGCGGCTCGCAACGGGCACTCTCAAGTGGTTGACGAACTGTTGAAGGTTCCGAATATTGATCGCGATCGCGAAGACGAAGATGGACGCTCGGCCATCTCGTATGCCGCCGAGCTGGGCCATCTAGACATTTTGAAGAGTCTCGCCTCCGGGCGCCCATCCGCCATGGACATGGACACTTACAAGGACCTTCTGGGAAATGCGGCCGCGATGGGCCATATTGACCTTGTCACTTTCTTCTTGGACAGTATTCCAGTTCCTTCACCTGACAACGCGTCTGTATCGCCTCTAGATCACGCCCTGGGAAGGGCCGCATTAGGGGAGCAGAATCAGATTGTCTCGCTACTGGTGACTCGAGGGGCGGACGTCAATGCTACCAACAGCGTGGGATCCACGCCCTTGCACTTGGCCGCGGAGCTGGGTAATATCGAACTCTGCCGAATCCTCCTGGACTCAGGCAAGATCTCGGACCTGGACGTCCGAAACTCGGAGGGGCAAACTGCTGTATTCATTGCCGCGTGGCACGCCAGGCCTGACGTCCTAAGCTTGCTCTTTGGAGCCAATGCGGACATCGAAGTTCCGGAAGTAGAGGGCTGGAGACCGTTACATGCGGCGTACGACTCTGTGCCTGTGACGAGACTCCTCCTGGAGTACGGCGCTATTGTTGATTCGACTACGCAGAAGAAGGAGACGCCCCTTTTTGTCGCGATCGACCGCGGCTACGAAGATGTATCAAAGGAGCTCCTGGGCTACGGGGCGGACCCCCTCGCGGCAACGGACGCCGGGCGGACACCACTACACGAGGCAGCTGTGGCAAGTGACGACATATTCCAACTTGTGCTAAAGCACACGGACATGTTGAACAAGTCGGCCGACCCGAGGGATGCGCAAAACCGAAGCCCCCTCTCTATTGCAGCGGGTGGAGGTCGCGTGGACGTCGTCAAGGCTTTATCGCAGAGACAAGATGTCGATATCAACCAGAAGGATGCCGAGGGACATACCCCTCTCTGGTTTGCGGTCGCGCGAGGACTCGATGAGGTGGCTGAGGTCCTCCTCAAGAGTCCGCAGTTTAATTTGACGACATCAGCCGAAGCGCCCGAAGGCCTGCTTCGCCTGGCCACCAAGCACCGAAGCCAGCTGACTCTACAGCTGTTGCTGGACAAGGACATCCATGTCAATTGTGGGAGCGATGTCTTGTTCGAGCTGGCGATGGAGACTGAAAATACTCGCCTCATCGACCTTGCCTTGGAGAAGGCCCACGATGAAACGAAGCGGGATCGACACGGATGGTCACTCGAGTGGATGAAACATGTCACGGTCCCCCCAGGAGACCAACGACGAAGTCCACCCGCCAACCAGAAACCAGGGTTTCTTCCCCCTAGTTGTTGGAGCGAGCCGGATACGACGGGACTGCTGAGCGTGACGGACGGACTGACGGTGTTTTACGAATCTCAGCACCGACGACGCATGGATTTCTACTCCTATTCAAGTACGTCCCTCTGCTAATAGAAGATTCGCCTAAACAAGTCGCAACTAACACTTCGTTCTGCATTCTCTGTAGGGGGATATAGCCGTCGACTCATGAGGGACCAGGCCGCCGCGGTTCGCGCGGACCACCCCATTCCACCAGTCGGCAAGTTCACCTTTGAGATCAAGATCCTGGACACGGGACAGACCAGGTGAGTCTCCCACTTCAACAAGGCGACGCAGTGGAAGCGAAGCACCGCTCACGTCCTACCGTAGGATCATCGCGATCGGCTTTGGCCACCAGGATGCCCCCCCTGAGGGGAGAATGCTCGGGTGGGATCCGTCCTCCTGGGGCTACCATAGCGATGACGGGAAAAAGTTTCATGGCGCAGGCAGAGGCCTCAAGTACGCCGAGACATATGGCCAGGGCGACGTGATCGGGTGCCAGATCGACCAGACTAAGGGCACGGCCTCGTTCACGAAAAACGGCGTGGATTTGGGTAAGATGGGCCCCATCCGATGGAGCTCCCGATGGTGTTAACACGACAGTCCAGGGGTTGCATTCGAAGGTATCATGGGTCGACTGTACCCCATGGTGGCGATGTCAAGCCCAGGGGCACGCACCGTCGCCCGGTTCTCGTGGGCCGACAGCGACAGACGCCACAGCCAAGAGAGCCTGGAGCAAGTGGGCACCTATCCAGAGGATCGAGATGATTCAATCCCGGGGGACGGTGAATACGAGGATGAATACGAGGCGGAAGACGACGACTCTGAGGAGGGCTTGTGGTGAGAGATCCCGTCTTCGTTGCAGACTCTTCGCGCGAGCCAAGAGTGCGGCGACCACGTTTTGAAGCGGGAGAGCTGTCAAGATTGAAAGAGGACGAAGTAGTAGTTAGAAAGGGCTCAACCCAAGAGCACCTAAGTAAGTATGTAGCTTGATAAGTAAGGAAGCACTGAGGGTCTTCGGTCAAGTACTTTTGGCACGGAGCAAGAGACGATTAACATGGACGCCCCCTGATTGATCCTGCATCTTGATGGATGTGCTGCTTGACCTAGTGATCGCTCGCATCACCCTCTCATTCGCGGTCGGATCGTTGATCCAGCCACATCTTGTCGTTCTGGCTATAATTGTTAGGAACGCCTATAGTGTACTAGCTCATTTTCGTCTACTTGTAGATGCCACTGTCCCACTCAGACTACATTGTGGGATGCGTCGGCCTATGGAGGTAGAATTAGACCCCGTCAAAGTAAATACTCGGCAAGATCCGTCCCAACATACCCACCTAACCTACTTGGAATTGCTATTTCTTGCGCAAAATAGGATATAATATTATGATTACGGTTCTACCTGGGTTGAGAACAATACGGCGGCATCCATGACTCAAACGTACGTTAGGAGGAGCGTCGGGAGCTGATTTTCATTGCCCAAGTTGGCTTCCCACCGGGTTCTGCGACCGTGCCTGCTTTATACCTTGATTGTTAGGCGTTTCTACTTAGTTAGACATAGTAATGCGGACGAAATTAGGCTGGTAAGGTAGACTCATGAGGGCAGGACACTGAACGGTAATTGTCCTTTCGCTACCAGGATGGAGGCGGTTTCACGTAAGCACGACTGTGTGGAGAACATTGGAATGAGGTAAACGGTACTGACCTTGTGGATATTGATTGGCCGACCTGATAACAACGTCCACCTACGGCCAATCGACACGGAACCGGCAGGAGCTGTACAGACCTCTATCCTTGACAGAGAGCCAATCAAATTTGATAGGATGGCTCATGCGGGATTTTCGGTCAGGGGCCATTCACTGCCGCTCAGGAGTTGGAGAGCTTGGAGGGACGAGCTGCAGGGGTCTGCCAGGATATGGGATGTACAAAGCGGATGGGTACCTGGTAAACCTTCACTCCGTCTCGTAGGCAGCAGCGACACAAAGGCCCCAACGGTCTTACCGTCGATCTCCCGGTCATTTGAGTACCTGAGCTGCATGTAGCATCGGTTGGCCTGGTCTCATCGAAGGGAAGAAGATGCGTAAGGCATGAGGATGAGTGGCGAGCCATGCGACGTTTTTAGCGTAGTAAAGGATGAGCTGATGAGATTTGTCACCACGTTGTTTTCACGACAGCAAGTTTCCTAGCATATTGAACTTGGATTTCCTCGCAAGTGCTATTCACTTGCGGCTTCATGTGCTGGCGGGGTGGTAGTTTCGAAACGCAGGACCTGACGCTGTAGCGAAGACATAAAAATCAGCTTCTCTTCCCTCTCCTCCACGTTTTAAACCGTTCGGCCCACTCGTGTCATTTCAGCCTGGGAGTACATGAGATTCGATCATTTGGCAACGTTGACGGCAGATGATGCGCTCGATTGAAAAATGCTATCAAACATGAGCTTGACCAGGTGGAGGAGAGTCTTGAGCAAGTAAACCCGTGGAACAGTGTTTTGGGGGCTACAAAGCCCTCGCATGGTGACTGATCCACGAGAATCATCAGGGAAAATAGCCAATGACATTGGGGATCGAACAGTCACTGCATGGACATGGTACGAGGGTACTCTTCCGATAGTGGGAGTGATAAGAACATGGCTGGTAGGAAATGTTTTGTACCTTCGTAGCGTGGATCTAAACCACCGCCAAGAATTGCCTCAGCCCAACCATACCTCTTTCAGGTGATGTCACATGTAACCTAGCCTGGGCGCTTAAGGGTAAGGGCGAGGGTGATGGGGTATGAGGGGCGGTTTTAAAAGCGGCGTCGCTAGGGTGCGGGTCACGGTTACCTCGGTGCAGATTTCCTCCCTTATTACCGCTAGGCACATAGCTTAGTTGATTGAAATATCCTCCCTCACACTAGGTAGTGTAACTTCACTTGATACGTTACACGCGTAGCACATGCGCATTTCACTCACCTCAGCCCTCTAGGCATGCAGAAGGCTCTGCGGCGGCAGCCATGGACCTGTGCCAGATGCCTGCGCAAGCAGCAGAGATTCAATTCTACCGCCGCCGGCATAGCCGTGGCCGACGATAACACCTTCACCCCTCCCCAGCTTCACGCGTCTTCCTCCGGAAACGGCAGCGATAATGCCCTCCTACGTGAGGTTTTCAATCAAAAGACCTTTTCCAAGACATCTTCCACGCAAAGGTCGGGCTTGATAGGAAACACGTTCCTCACCATCCCTCAGGGCTTTCAAAAATTTGCAGAGGCAGCGGTGATACAATGCAAGAGATTGGTAGAGAGGACGCTTGCCGCTTCCACACCGGAGCAATACAGAGCCATACCAAAAGACCTTGATAGACTCAGCGATTTGCTATGCCGAGTTATCGATCTCTCCGACTTCATCAGGAGCATACACCCGAGTGACGATGTGGCCGCTTCAGCCTCTGCCTCATATTCGCTCATGTTTCAGTACATGAACGAGCTCAACACAACCACGGGATTGAACCAGCAGCTTAAGAGGGCTTGGGATATGCCAGAGGTTCAGTCCCAATGGAGTGAAGAGGAGAAGATGGTCGCCGTGCTCCTGATGAGGGATTTTGCGAAATCGGGCATTCACCTTCCCGATAACCAGAGACGGCAGTTTGTCTCTCTGTCGAATGATATCGTCCAACTGGGAACCGATTTCATCAACCAGATGAGCCATGCGAGGGATTGGGAGTCTTTCACTGTTGGCCAATTGGATGGTATAGATCCCACATTGGTCCAAGGCTACAAGAACCACGAAAAAGTACAGATTCCTGTATCGAGTAAATGGTCCAAAATGGTCCTGGGTTCCGCTAAAAATCCTGCGACGAGGAAGGAAATGTACATTGCTGAGAGAAGCGCTTCCAAAAAGACCATTACGACTCTTGAAAAGTTGCTCCTACGTCGTGCCCAACTTGCCAAACTCACGGGATTCGACAACTTCGCACAGATGACTCTGATAGAGAAAATGGCCAAGACACCAGAGGCTGTGAACAACTTTCTAGAATCTGTCAATGCGAACAACAAGATACACGTACAAAAGGAACTCGCTCCGCTTCTCGAGCTCAAGCGCAAGATGGACCAAGGTGCTGAAGAATTGAATCCATGGGATCACCACTATCTCCTGGCGAAGCTGGACCAACTGGAGGGAGCTTCAGGTCCTCGAACCTCCAAGTCGCGCTTACGGGAAAGTGCCAAGTTCTATTTTGCAATCGGCCATGTCATGCAGGGTCTGTCAAGCCTGTTTGAATCTCTGTATGGAGTCCGATTTGTGCCCAGGGAGACCAAGCAAGGCGAAGTCTGGCATCCAGACGTCAGACGATTGGACGTGTACACGGACAAACAAGAACACATTGCCACCATGTATTGCGATCTGTTTTCACGGCCTGGGAAACAAAGTCACCCGGCTCACTTCACCCTTCTGTGCTCACGAGAAATCTCAGATGAAGAAGTCCGTGAATGCGCAGAGCGCAATGAGCCACTGAACAATGGCATGCCGACACTTGTGAGCACCAACCCGACGTCTGGCGTGACCTCTCATCATCAAATCCCAATCATCGCACTAGTATGCGGCTTCCCACAATCCAGTGTAGCCGGCGAACCTGCGTTGCTTTCCCAATATAGCCTCGTCTCGCTGTTTCACGAAATGGGCCATGCTATCCACAGCGTTCTCGGCCGCACCTCCATGCAAGGCATCTCGGGAACACGAGTAGCAACAGATTTCTCCGAACTGCCCTCGGTTCTGATGGAAAACTTTGCCACAGACCCAGCGGTATTGAAACTTTTCGCCAGACACTGGAAGACCGATGCTCCCATGCCCGAGGAGATGCTTCAAATTCTTGCCGAGGAAGGGTCAAAGGAAGCTTCGAGACAGGGCGCCTGGAACAACGAGAGCCAGATCCTCATGAGTATCCTGGATCAGGTGTACCATGGAGACGGACCTGTCCAAGCTCTCCGAAGCGGGCGCTACGACTCTACCGCTGTATATTACGATGTGTGGAACAAGCACGGCTCCGTGCCCGAGCCATGGGGCACCTCGTGGCAAGGATTCTTCGGCCACCTCCACGGCTATGGCGCGAGTTACTATTCGTACTTGTTTGACACGGCGATTGCGCGACGTGTCTGGACAAATGTTTTCCGGAGTGGCAGGGACAGCGGCGCAATTGACCGTGCCAGTGGAGAGAGGTTCAAAGAGGAGGTCCTCAAATGGGGCGGTGGGAGGGATCCATGGCTCTGCCTCGAAGGCTTACTCGGCGAAGGGAAGGGAGTGCTGGTAGAAGGTGGAGAGGAGGCCATGTTGGAGGTGGGACGATGGGGAGTCGGTGTCGGGGCTGGGTCCTTGGATTAAAGCGTAACGACGGGACAGAGCAGGCTCTCTTAGTCTATGGATGACCGACCCTGTAAATGTACTTTATAAAAGGACTATTATTATGTATGGCCCCCCATTGTCTCCTTACCGAGTATATATTTATCTATCAGCCAGGGGACTGCCGAACTTGGTTCGACATAGGATCTTCATCTTCTCGAGGATGAATCCTATAGCGCTGCGCTTCGCCGTTACACCGCAAAACACCTCGAACCTTTGCTGGAGGATCGGGGGATACACCTCAACGTCAATCGCGAGAGAATTGGGTCAGAAAGGGGGCTTGGTTTCACCAGGAAGGGAGTCAGCAGCACAGTGTTGACAGGAATAAGATCGCCAATACCAGGTCTAAATGCGAGATCTTAGGCATACGCCCAGGCATTGCCACGAGACATTCCCACACGACTCCTCGAAACATTCGCCAGGAAGCCGTTTGTCGGTCTCCCTCCTGACGACCTGCCGCTATGATACTTCACGTTCCGACCTCCGACGACCAATAGGGTTGCTGACCTTCTACCCCGGGATTGATCCCCACAATTGGTCTTTTGCCCATTGAACCCCGGGGTAGCTACTCGCGTTGTCTCTCGATGGTCTTGTTTTGATGACTCGTTTTGCAATCGAAAGATCTCTTTCTTGCTCTCTACGACCCCATTCGAGGATGGCTCTTCGTGGTATCTTGACGAGGCTGAGGTTCCATCCACCAGTACAACCTGTCCTGTCTCGCGAGGAGGTATTGAAGTTGCACAATGTCTTTTGCAAATACAACCCGACTCACTGTCGCCGGAGTCTCATGACAACGAAATGTTTCGCCCCAAGAGTCATTAGGCGATCGGTTGGGTCTCTATCTCCTGCACGGGCAACCGACCATGATACAGGCCTTGCTCCCTTTCGCAAGGACGACCTGCCGCCTGACTTGGAAGTGCCATCGCCGGTGACCATTGACGATGTCGAAGCAACAAAGTGGTCTGAAACGACGGACGTCCTGGTCGTAGGGTTTGGTGCTGCCGGTGCCGCAGCTGCCCTCCAAGCTCGCGAGTCCGGCGCCCAGGTGATCGCGGTCGATCGTTTTGGAAATGGCGGTGCGACATTCTTCAGTGGCGGCGTTATTTACGCCGGGGGTACAGAAGCCCAGCGCCAGAATGGTGTCAACGACTCACCCGAGGAGATGTTCAAGTACCTGAACACCGAGGGTTGTCCTGTTCAACCGGAGACGTTGCGAAAATTCTGTCAGGACAGTGCTGGCAATGTCGAATGGGTGGTCCAGCATGGCCTGCTGTACGGTGGCCCAGTCTTTACCGAAAAGACAGCATTTCCACCCGCGCCGTACAAGATCTACTATTCGGGCAATGAGGCCATGCCCTCGTATGCGGAAAAAGCGAAACCGGCGCCACGCGGCCACATGGCGGCAGGTAAAGGCTTTGGAGGCTCCAAGTTGTACAAGACCCTCCGCGACGCTGCTGAGAAGGCCAAAGTCAGGTTCCTGCCCCATACCAAAGTCACTCGACTTGTCGTCGACCGCGACCGTCGTGTTGTCGGTGCAGAGGTGCTGAGTCTCCCTCAGAGCCTCTGGAAACAACACGACAAATTGTTCAACACGGTGCACCCATGGGTACCATTCAACGCTGGTCGTTCTAAGAAGGCCATCAAGGAGGCGACAGACATGGAGGCCCGGGTGACCGAGCGAAAGCTAATCAGGGCCCGGCACGGCGTTGTGCTGTGCTCTGGCGGCTATAATCGTAACTTGTCACTGGTCGAAAAGTACCAACCCGTTCTGGCAAAGCACTACGAAAAGACGTTGCCGCTGGGCTCCATCAGCGACAATGGAGCCAGTGTCGCTTTGGGAGCGTCAGTAGGGGGCGTGTCGTCCTTGCTGAGCCATATCAGTGTTGCACGAACAATGGTACCTCCCAACGTCTACGCCAATGGAGTACTGGTGAATGCTCACGGCAAGCGGTTCATCAATGAAGGAGCATATGCGATGTTCATCGGTACGGAAATGCTCAATCAGCCCGACGGGAGGGGCTATCTGATCCTCGAATCCCGAGACTTCTGGTACGGCGTGTACAAGTCTTTCTTCACCGGGGGCAACTTCCTGCTCTGGGGCGCCCCGGCACTCATCAACATCTTCTTCGGCGGTACTCGACGAGCTCGATCGCTGGAGAAGCTTGCAAAGAAGATCCAAGTCCCTCCGCAGGGACTGAGAGAGCAGATCGAGGAGTACAACACCGCCTGCCTCTCAGGCCAGGCGGACAAATTGGGCAAGCTGAAAGACATTTTCCGCCCGGTTGCCAAGGGTCCCTTCTACGCCGTCAACGTATCTCTCGGGAACAAGTTCAACCCGGCGCAGTCGATCACCATGGGCGGATTGGTCGTGGACGAGCAAACAGGAAACGTCAAGCGCGAAGATGGCAGCGCGGTGCCCGGCCTGTACGCCGCCGGGAGAGCAGCTGTTGGGGTTTGTTCGGGCGGATTTGTCAGTGGGATGGCGTTGGCCGATGCCCTCTTCAGTGGTCGTCGAGCAGGCCGTACTTGTGCCACTCGTCCGCTCGCGGCCTCAGGGTAGAAAGCACCAGCTAACTTGGTGATGATTGTTGGATGTCACTGTACATAGTCGGACCTGTCCGTCTGGCCATTTTTTCTTTGGTCTGTCATCGGTTTGATTTTTCGTCGGATGTTATTCAGCGTATCAGCAGCTTGAGAACATGTTTATGCCGTTAATTCCCTTTCTTAGCAAGCTTGCACCACCGGGCGAGTTCGCCGGCAACTGGATTTACAGGAGAGAGAGAGAGGAGAGGAGAGGAATATTGGATTGTCAAGGTGTTAGACTGTGATTGCTACGCAGCACGCAACTGCGCGTAAGGAAACGCCAAGGAGTAGCCTCGTCGCTATAGTACCGCTGTGGGGTTAGTGGATGGACCGCCAAGGGGCTTATATCCACTTTCGTGCCTATAGGCTCCTCTCGTTCCATATCTAGTTCCCCCTTCCTTTATACCACTGAGAATTTCACCTTCTGCCACGTTCAAGACAAGTAGTTTCCTCCTACACATTTAACAGTGAGGGCGGCGTTTGTTACCAATTTAGGCTGCGACGACCTTGATTTCGCGCTGCTCAGTCTTGATCCCTTGCAGCTTCCGAGCGACTCTGTCAGTCATGGCGTCCTCGAGCAACTTGTCCTCCACCAACAGCGCTGCGATCACGGCACAAAACGAAAAAGCGATCGACGAGTAGTACACCATTTGGAACGACTTGAAAAAAGCAGTGTGAGCAGCATCGGTGGCGCTCAGGATGACCTGAGGAGTGATGCCTGGGATTGTGGCGAGCCCCGCTTGATCACCAGCAGCAATGTCTTGGACCAGCTCGATGGCCGCGTTTTGAGTCAGGCCGGCCTTCATGGCGGCGGGAATGACGTATTTGGGCAAGTTTTTGGTGATTTGAGTGTTGAGAATCGTGACATATACCGCGTCTAGGACCATTGTCAGCCTTGGCATATATCTGGAAAGGTTTGTCAACCAAACGAACCTGATATTGTGGAGAAGCATGTCCGGATGCTGAATAGGGCACCAATGGCAATGCCGAAGTCTTTGGTGTCAACCATGAGAGGTGCACCACTGATCGTGATGATCTCCATGTATCCAATGCCCAAGCCGACAAGGATGCTGAAAACCGCGGCCATGGCAAGTGTCAAGCTTGCCGCGGCGCTGGCACCCACAAAGGCAGTGAAGATAACGCAGGACAGGAGCAACTGCCACTTTATGTATCTGAACAATTTCACCGTGAATCCAGCCAATCCCTGTCCAGCTAGCACGCCGGCCGTGATTGTGCACTATTCAGGGTAAGAATGAGAAAAGGGGAGACAAAAGGGGCATTCTACTTACGCTGTACCACCCAGCCTGACTTGGTGTCCTGCCGAAAACGTACCCCAGCTGCTGTGGGTAGAGGATGCACAAGGCGTAGAAGACCATGGAGCCAAAACAAGAGCACGCCAGCAGGCAGTTAAAGTTGCGGCTCCTGAAGAGGCGGAGTGGTAGCAGAGGCAAGGCAGGCTTTCCAAAGTATTCTGACAAATGGTCAATACCTTCCAAGACAGTCATTGTCGGGGTCCAAATCTTACCCCATAGGACGAAAACGATCATGACAACCCCTCCGACCACGATAGGTACGATGACCTTGTAGGAATCCCAAGCTATCAGTCGTCAGCTTTTTGTGTGCCTGCCCAGAAGGGACCGTACATACGATATCTTTGGCCGCCCCACGAAATTCCGAAGAGGAACGGTACCACTCCACCGCAAAAGAGGATCAAGCCAATGTAGTCAAGCGACTTGACGAATTGCCATTTGGTATGTCGGGTGTGCAGTTGATCGAACTTGGGAGGATGGTAGCAGATGACGAACAAGATGACTGCGGCAAAGGTTGTGCCGGCCAGGAGATAGTAGATTGATCGCCAGCCTTGGGAAGTGTGTGTGGCCAAGGTCAGTGCTAAGAACTTCAATCAGCATCTCGCGGCGCCACACCAATAAATTCTGTCACAGGAAGGTATACATACCAATTCCAGGCGCAATTGCTGAGAGAGGACCAAAGAGAAACGCGACTGCGCCGAAGTACAGATAGCGATACTTGTTTGGCAAGAGCTCTGCCCCAATGGCGGCACAATGGGTTTGAGTGGCTGATCCGAATCCCATGAGGACGCCCTATCCACATCAATCAGCCCAAAAGATACGAGAAGCGATTGATGCTCCAAAAACTTACGGCGCCAATCAGCGTGTCGACTGTCTTTGCTCGACTGGCGACGATGTACCCAATGAAAGCGATGGTGCCGAAGATGATCTGGTACCACCGACGACCAAACAGGTCCGACAAACGACCGACGATGGTGAAGGAGACGGTCTGGCACACTGTCAAAGACAGGATGATCCAGATTGAATTCGGACTCGGGCCTGTGCTTTCTGTTAAGATGCATGAAGCGGCTGCATACGTGCAGTCCACATACCAAGATCTGCTAGAATGACACTCAGAGAGAATGATGGCATCACATATGCCCAAAACCCGGCAGCGTAGCTCAGAACCATAGCCTGGGTCTTCATCAGCATCGCGAGATCAGGTATATCCCGATAAATCGATTACACATACCGCCATCGACCCTACCAAACGCCAATGGCGAAAGTAGTGGCGTCCCAGGACCGCCGAGTCCTCGACTCCTCTGGCTTCCTCTGCCATGGAGTCGGTGTCAGAATCGGCATCCAGGTGTTCGATCTGCATATCAGAGTGTCCGACGTGGGAGGCATGTTGAAAGCCCTCCGTCTTCTCCTCCTCCTGATTGTTGGTCTGCATGGCTCGATTTGTCTGTCAGAGTAAAGTCAACAAAGTCAGTCAAGGCGAGCAGGATCACACGATCTCTCTCTCTTCTGGCAGAGACCCTGCACTGGGGTCTCCCCGGCTTATAACAAGCAGGTGGCACCGCAAAGACCGTCCCCCTGGGGACCCCAGCCAAGTGGTGGGCGTCGGGATCTGGGAAACAAGGCTCCGCCGCACCGGATGATTCCCAACCTTGTGGGAGGCGCTAAAAGTCTTCTTTTCAGGACGAATCTATTCCTATAGCAGCTGTTGAGCCTGGGTCGGTGTGTAGTCTCACGTCCACAAAGGGTCATGGGTCTATGCACCTTGACTGTTATGTTCCGGAGCGCTCCCAACACTTCTTCGTCAGACCCTCTTCATTCCCTCCCCCTAGCCTTGGTGTCACTCAGAGACGGCCGGAAAAGAAGGCTGCCTGCGACGGCTGGGTCGACAAACCCACATTAGGGTCGGGTCAGGCGGACATGCTAGACTGCAGAAGAGCTTGACTAGCGAGCGCTACTGACCTTGCCATTTCTTTTGTCTAGAATGTGTATGTGAGAGAGGGAGAAAGAGACAGAGAGGCATACGCGCAAGTGATCGCGGCTGCAAGTGGCGAACAAAGAGGTCATCGAGCAAAAGTTCTGCCATCCCAGCCTCCGACACACACACTCTACGGAGTAGGTTTCTCTTATTCACAAACTGAAATACACAGTCTCATTTCCACTCAGCCTACACGGAATATCTGATACGAGATAGTGACCTTCCCTATCTCCTTCACACCAATCTTCCCTTGCCCCACAAAAACAGTGTCGTTCACCCAGGCATATTCCTCACTCCGGGAGAAGATCCTCGGAATAGTGTAATAGTACAGCTGACCAAAGTCCACTTCGCACTTTTCTCCTCCCGAAAACGTCTTGAAGACGTCTGGCGTCACGTGCATCTTTCCGGTGTAGGCAAACTCCATGTTCAGAGAGCCGTCGTCCGAGAGAGCACTGGCCCGCGCGTCGATCGACACGATGTTCCCTTTGATCCTCATCCAGTCCGACGCTGTGACCACCTTGGCGATCTTCTGGCCGTCGGGGAGTTCGAGGGTGCCTTCCGTCACTGAGAATCCGCGCGTGTGGAATCGGGTTAGTACAATAGATGCACCACTTTCTGACTTTTGACAATTTCCACAAAACGATAGAAACGGGGACGCCGGCCCCGGAGCTCCCGGAAGCAAGAAGCAGCCGGGAGGGGAAGGGAAGGGATGGGACGACATACCGTGAGCAACACACAGATCCGAGTATTTTGTTTCAATGTGCGGAAACCCAGCGGGACCGGTCATGTTGAGAGTGAAGACGTGGGTGAGTTTTGGAGACGCCGCCATCTCTTGTGTCGTCCAACACCATAGACTGAGGGGGAGGGCTTGGGGATGTTAGGACCAAGGGAGACTACTTGGTGACATTCGTTGATATGGTGATACCTCGATTGTTGTTGCTAATTAACCCCCGATACTTTGTTTTTCTTGGTGTCAAGAAGTCGGATCTGACCATCTCTTTTACATCCCGGACCCGGAGCAGCCTCAATCTTAGGTTCTAACAATGGAAGCGGTGCAGAAGAGGTCTAGTTCAAGTGTACTATTGGTGCCTATGTGGTCTCATTAGCTAGCCCATAAGGGGTAACAGCTTCGCAGGTACGACCCTTCTCTTCGCCAGATGAAGGAGCGGAGGAGGATCTGCAAAGGGAGTGCTCCCGCAATCGTAGCGTCATCTCAGCTGTGAGGGTCAGGCTTCGCAGCTCATACCCAAGGCTGCAGTGGTACCAGGTTCCAATCCAGCAGGCGAGCCTAGGGGGTTTTTCTCTGTCACCCGTAAACGATAGCAAATAATAAAACATCTCATTCTTTATCCTCCATCTACCCTTGCAAGCAATGCTCTCCTCCCTGACTAGATCTCATTGTAGCACGAAGCCACATGCATTCTCTGGTCCTTTTTCCAATGTACTTCAGGTACATCAGGAGCCTTGAAGCCCGGAGGAGCTTCCGCAACCATTGGCACCGCTTGGAGTAAAGCCACCGCAAAGGTCAGGTAGGCCGGAGCTGCAGGTTCGCCCTCGATCGTTGTGGCGTCAGTAAGATAGGAGGGTTTCAGACTCAGAACCGTGCGTGAAGACGGTCTCCCTTCTATGGTGATGATGTATACATTGTCTCTATCAAGCTTTGCCGGCTTCATCACTTGACCAAAGAAGTAAGTGATTTTGATGCTGATGAACGGTTTATCGTCGTCGGTATAGCCCGTGGAAGTATATGAAATGAGGGCTGTCTGGCCTTTCTTGACGGTCATGACGGGCCGGACAATGTCTTCCGGTGCCTCGAGGCACTGCTTGGTCGCTTCGATTCGATCAATCTTGACCCCAAACTCCCTCCCAACATGATGGATCATTTGATGGTTGTAATGCTTCTGGTACCAGATGGCCGGACTTTTCTCATCGATCGTCTCCGCAATGGCTCCTCCGAGGCCAATTACTTGCAACACGCTCGCATTCGCTTGATCCTGACAGTCGAAGTATTCCATCAATTCGATGCGCTTGATATCGTTAGACAGGCCAGATAGTAAAGTAACTACCCGTTGGGTCATCAGATCGGGATTGAGCCCAGTGGCATGAAACGTCGCGTTGCCTCGTTTACATGCATTCTTTATACCCTCTCCAAAAGCTGCATCCCGAGCGGGTAGATAACTGTACGGATGGCTTGTCACGACGTTCTTGCCTGCCTCAAGGAGCCTCACAAAGTCAGTGAGCGGGTCCAGGAAGGGAGCGTCTAAGGCTGTGTGGACCACCACGTCGCAATCGATCTTGAGGAACTCGTCCCAGTCGCCGGTAGCCTTGACCCCAAGGGGTTCGATGCCCGCCAGAGTTCCAACATCGACGCCCTTCTTCTTGTCGGAGAACACAAAGGCCCCGACGACCTGGAATTCTGGTAGGCGAGTGGCTTCGCGGATGACTATACAACCGGCATCACCAGGACCGAAGATGGCGATTTTATACGGTGTCGTTCGTGTGGCCATTGTTGGTAGTGAATTTTGAATCGTGGAAGACAAATTCAGGCAATACGACTTTGTTGTGGGGGAAAGGGGTCAGGCCAGAAAGGTTTCAAATATATTGATTGTCAGTCACCCTGCATTGATCCGGTGTCCGGGAGGAACTAGAGACTTCAGACTTGGCCTTTAATCGGCTCACCTGTCAGGACCAAAGGCATAGAAGCAACTGACATCCTTGAATCTACTTCAACGTTACAGAACCATGAGACTTAGATTTGACTTTTTAGGTGAGGTTCGATGTCCTCGGAATAAAGATCACAGTCGCACTTACTAAAGGTAAGTCAGGGACCGCTGGACTCATGTCAGAACCGCTGTATGCGTGATCACTTCATCCTTCGATTTCAACAATGAAACCTTCGCCATGAGCTCGTTCTATAGCTTCTTCTCACCATATTCCGATCAAGGGATGCAGGGTCTGCTGGTTTCACGACCATCCCTAAACAAGTCACCTGGCTTTGCCATTCTGTTTGCCGTTACTTTTGTTCGACGAACCCTCAGGGCCGTCAAATTGCAAGCCAACGAGCGTCAGAGAGATTGCGACCAAGACAAAAGTGACAACTCCCATCGGGTAGGAAATATGGTATCCCTCATCCACCGCTAGGGCAATCCAGACTGGCCAGGCCATTGCCCCATTTGCCAGAATATCCGCCGACGGGATGATCAAGATGATGGCAAGCTTCTTCCAACCCTTCAAGACTTCGGCCTTTGTTAGAACGTTGATTATAGAAGCCGCTATAATTGGCATTGTCGAGTTGATCGCGGGAAACCACAAAGGCATTCCGAGTACTTTGAAGGGTTGAAACCCAAAGTATGACTGCAGACCCCATTGATTGACTGGGTACTCCAGGAACAGATTCGAGACGTAGGCAAATGCCCACAGCTTCCACACGCTGCGGGCCGTCATGGGTGTCTTTTGGCTCCGGAATTTGGTGAACCACCAGTATCCAAACCCGCCGTTGAATGTGCCGTACGAGGCCAACATGAACCAAGGGATCGGCCGACCATCATGGGCGTGCAATATCAAGTCGGTTTTGGCGAAATAGCAGCACCCGAGCGCGTTGATCAATGGGTCCAGCACCACGCACAGCGATCCGCCGAGCATGAAGAGGGTGCTTGTAGGATCGAATCGGAATATCAGCTGGTATAGTGCGAAGAGGATGCAACCGATATAAGGGATAAACGTGGATATGGTAAACATGACGCTTTCATCGTATGGCATCTCCGTGACCGTCGGTGGTCGCTGGGACGTGAGTGGGTCAAGCATCTTTGCGTGTGCGTGGGTGACGGTTGCGATTGAGCCCCGACCTCAGCCTTAGATGGTTTGAATTTAAGATGGTGACGGAGAATATGCAAAGGGTCAAATATCACGAACGATAAATAAAATAGAATAGATTTGGAGCAATTCGATGCCGGATAAAGGGATTCTGGAGCCAATTCGGCTTATTCTTGTCATGATGCCGGCACCTTCTATTGGCAGCCGAATCCAACGGACCCAGGACTCGGAAGAAGGACATATCACTCATTCCGCAAGCGGCCTGCTTGATACTCTCTGTCCGCTGCTCATCAATTACTATACCATTCACGTGGGTTTACCTGCCTGCTTTTAAGGCCCAAAGAGGTCGGCTTGGAGTATTTCTCCAGGGATCTTTAGCAAGTCTCTCTATTCGGCAACCACTAGGCAGCACCGGTCGCCGCAACATACACTATTTACACCAAGAACAGACATAGCATGGTTTTTGGACGTCTCAGTTCCCCCTTTCGATTCGGCATTAAGCACCTCTTTCACCATTCTTTCATTTCAAGTTGTCGAGCTACTTGTTCAGCACATACTGCCCGCCCTCGACGACCGAATAGTTTTTCCCCGTGAGGATGACCATCTTGGCCGCCTGGAAGAATCTCTGCTCGTCCGGCACAACGACCTCCTGGTAGTATTTATCCGACGAGATCTTGGCCCAGGTCTCCAGGGACGGGATTTGCAGCTGAACGACCCCGTCGTAGCCGAGGGGATTGTTGCTCTGGTCGATGTGGAACTAGATGGGGATCAACAACGGTTCATTAATCTTTTGAAATAAGGTGGCAGTGATTCACGTACCTGCCGGTAACTCAGAACTCCCTTGGATGACAGGAATCCTCCCACCAGGGGTCCGTGCTTCTCTATCCAATGTTTCTGGAACTCCTCGACCGACAGATTTTCATTCCGTGTGACGAATGCCAGCATGGTTATTGGGTGAGAGGGGCTTTCGGGGGGAGCGCCATCCGTCCCATTCGACGCTGCGGCCATGACTGGACCAGGGGATTGATACGAGTCTGATTTGCTTGTAGGTCGCAAACAAGGGGTGGAACCTATTGAAATTTGATCCAAGGCCGAAAAAGGTCCCAGAAGTCCGAGAGCTCCAATTCGAGTGAGAATTTGGTGTCATGTCATGGGTTTAATAGCCTCGTGAAGGTATTGTACTCGCTGACTCGGTACCCAGATACGATACATTCTCCACCCGCCCCCTCCCCACTTGTCATCTCTTCAGCCAATCGGGAGTCGCGGTATGTCCTGATCCGGGGTGACTAAGCTATTTTCGATGAGTTTCCTCTCCTGTCTCTTCTACACATCGGACGCTGCCGACGATCTCCGCTGGGTGCAGCTCGGCGGCAGCCGGATCGTGAAAAAAAACATACATACAACATCTCCGAGAAACACTACTGCATCACAACCCACAATATCACCAAGACACCGTCTACACACCAACCCACACACACGCACATCACCAACGCACTGAGCACCGCAAGTCA